AGAAAGAAAATTTTTTGAAAAGAGGATTCAGGAGGTAAGCATGGAAAATTAGATTCATTTATCTTGAAATTATAAAAGTAAATGTACAAACAGAAAAAAACACTTTTCCAAATAATTTTCATTTTGTTAAATTCTCCTTTAAATTTATCACAAATTTCTAATGAGGAAATTGAAAATAAATGAGAAAAAAAAAACAGATAAATAAAGATTATAATTGATTAAACATAGAATATAATTTTCAAATATAATTTGATAATTATTTAAATGTATAATGGCAACATATGTAATAAGCTTATGAAGGAGTATATACTTTGGTGATGGTGCCAGGTTTTCTTACACCCCCAAAATCTGAGTATTTTAGGTGTCCTGAAAAATAATGTTTGAATGTATTTTTAATTTCAGTATGCCTAGATAGCGGATTATTTAAAGGAAAAAAAGTAATAATTTTGTCTGTTCAGAAAAACTTTACAATTTTTTTTACCAATTAATGAGGTCACAGATAGGAAAACAGAGTTGAAATAAATAAAATTTCTCAATATGTAACATAGAGCATTTCCTTACATAGTCTGTAATCCTCCCACCTATACAATGTTCAATATGTACTCATTGCAGAGTGTTGTCCTAATGAAAGCTCAATGCTGGAGCTGAAATGTTGACATCTTTTATAACACCTTTAATGGATTAAATAAAAGCTAAGTTGTATTCATCTACTACAAGTCCCTGGAGTTCGGTTCTTTTTGCTGTTTCTACATAATTTGCCAGACCCTGGGCATTACTTCAAGTGACCAGGAGTGCAAGCCTTTTTTAAACACACTGTATGTGTTTTTTTGTGTGTGTGCAAAGTGGCAACATCACTGCAATGTGAAGGTGATATGGTATGAGTAATGTCATGATAATGTGGCAGCATATACAATTCAATGATTCTAATTGTGTATAAGTGATAGCTGGGTATGGGTGCAGACCCTGGCAAACGTGAAGTGGTTAAATACATGTCAGCACAATTAAATATTATTTGCCTTAAGAGTGACAGATTGTCTTTTTAATATAATTTCGCACATACAGGTTGATTAAGCAGGCAAAAAAGAAAAAATCAACTAAAGCATAGTTTAAGTGTTACCCCAAACACCATGATCACGTTATTGAATTGAATTGTTCATTGTGCTTGGAATCTGTATAGGCAGCATTTCACTTTTAACCCCTTTGCTACCAGAGGTGTAACACCACATCTGGCAACATCATTAGCCAGCCCAGAAAAAAAAGTTCCAGGCCGTGTAATGTAAATTCTGTGCAAAACTGACATCTAAAAAAATACAGGTATATATATATATATATATAAGGTGCACTGTGCCTTTAAAACAGATAATGTCTTTCAACTATACGTTCTCAAATAGTAAATGTTAAGTGCAAATATTATGTGCAACACAGATACAAAGTGCTCTTCAAAAACTCTTATGAAATACTTATTACAGGTGTGCAAATATATTCCAGCAAAGTGCAGAAAAAAATTTATTGTGTTGTGCAATATTTCCAAAGTGCAAAAAACACACCATATGATACATCTTATAGGATTCACTAAGTATGGCATTACAATATATCTTTTCAATCCATTCAATTTAGTATATAAAAGAAAAATGAAAAAGAAAGAATACGCATAGTGTAATACCGTTTATAATGCTACAAATTACAATATGTCATTGAAAAGCCACTTACAAGAGGAGAGCAGTGAAGTTTCTGCTCTTCACTGTTGTTCACTGCATATAGTATTTCATTTTGCACTCTGGAAATATTACACAACAGAAAAGAATGTCTGCATGATTATTGGAATATATTTGCACATACTGTAATAAGCACTTTTTAAGTGTTTTTGAAGTGCACGTTGCATCTGTGTTGTAGATAATATTTGCACTTAATATTTACTGTTTGAGATGGTATAGTAGAAAAATGGTATCTGTTTTAAAGGAAAAGCACACATTTATTTATATTTGTATTTTTTAGAGTTTATTTTTAGGGCCCTACTGTTTTTGCACAATTTTTACACACTTTTGATATTGGATACTGTGTTAGTGCTATTTCACTTGTGTTTTTAAGTATTTAGCAAAATTGACATCTGACAGTCTAACAGTTACCTCTTCATGCTGCCTCTGTCCTCCCATCATTAATTTCTCCCTGACATTCCTCCTCCTGTGAGGAGTAGTGAAGTCAGCCAAAGAGAATCAGGCTGAGGGGAAAAAGTAACCTTGGCGAAGGAAAAGAGATAAGTTTAAGCCTAAGGTAATTTTGGACAAGCATAAAAGAGGTTACTACAAAAAAAATGTGTTTTATAAAAACTCTGGATTTTGGTTGCAGTAACCCTTTAACTTTATTGATCTCTTCCTTATCCTTGTTTAACCTGTATGCATGGATGTATTTTCACAATATTCAACTCTTAAAGATATACAAGATACCTCTAGCTTAATGAAGCAATTTTGGTGTATAGCTCATACCCTGCAGTCTCACTGCTCAATTCTCTGCCATTTAGGTGTTATTTCACTTAGTTTCTGTTTATGAAGCTCAAGCCACACCTACTTTGGCTTTGACTCACACAGCCTGCATGAAAAAAGTGTTTCATTTTCAATCAGATCTTAACATGATATAGAGGTTTTTATCTCCTGCTCTGGAAATTGAACTTTAATCACATACAGGGGGCCCTGCAGGGTCTAGAAGGCTATTAACAAAGTAGGAGATAAGACATTCTAAATTAAACAGAAAGTGCAATAAATCTCTCTTTACGGGAAGTGTTTAGAAAGACTGTGCAAGTCACATGCAGAGAGGTGTGAATAGGCCTGCATAAACAAAGTCATTTAACTCCCAAGTGGCAGGTTATTGAGCAGTGGCATGATCTTTACACAAAACAGGTTCTTTTTGGTGCCTGTAGTGTACCTTTTAGATGGAAAATTATGTTTACTTGTGCTGACATATATAAGTACTTTTGTAGCAGTTGTTTTGTTTTAAAGGAATAGATACTTGTGTGCGGCTGGACTATATACTTTAAACAGTCCCATTAAAAAGCCCAATTTTCACTTTTACCTAAAAATATGTTCTATTGGCAGATTAGAAACAGTGCAAAGATCTTTGCCACTGTGGTTATTCAGTCTTAACAGCCCTATTGCACAATCCTCTAGTTTTTATGTTGACTTATTTTGCATCAATAAGTGAGTATATAGTACAAGTTGTCTACCCTTTTGCATTTTCTCATTTGCCTTGGTAACAGTAATGGCTATGCTAAGGAAGCAGTGCTATAAATATAATTATTGAGTACAGAGATATCTTGTTCTTCCTTTCAATGGAAACAGAAAAAGAGTGGAGAAAGAGAAAGAAAATGCGGGTGAGAAGTTCTGTTGCTCTGAGACCTTAATGTTGACTTTATTCTGTCTTTGTAGTTGTACGACAGCTGCGGCAGAAGCTATTTATTTGAATTATTATCTTTCATGCATGTGTATAATACAACTTGATTTTTAGATATAACAATAATATACTAAGAAAAAAATATTTTGTTATCATTAGATTGCCAGGAATGTAGCAATACAAATATAAAAATATATTTTATAAAGGTTTTTTTTTTTTTTTAAACATTTTTCATATATTAATTTTATTATTATTATATTTATAAACTGTTATTTGATTCTAATTGGCAATTTTGCATTTCAGTTCTTGTACTTCTTATTGTTACAATGAGAAGACGAAAAAAGGAGCCTATGATTTTTGATGAAGAAAGGGATATCAGAGAGAATATTGTGCGATATGATGATGAAGGTGGTGGTGAAGAAGACACAGAAGCATTTGACATGACTACTTTACGAAACCTCAATATTATTCGAGACAACAAATCAAGAAGAGATGTAACTCCAGAAATTCAATTCTTAAGTAGACCTTCTATGAGAAGTGTTCCAGATAATGTAATTTTTCGAGAATTTATCTGGGAAAGACTAAAAGAAGCTGATGTAGATCCATGTGCTCCTCCTTATGACTCTCTACAGACCTATGCCTTCGAAGGGAATGGCTCGATTGCAGAGTCACTTAGTTCATTAGAATCAGTGAGCACAAACTCTGAACATAATTATGATTATTTGAGTGACTGGGGTCCTCGTTTCAAAAGGCTTGCCGACATGTATGGAACTGGTGAGGACAAGCTGTACTCATAGCACTGGGATATAAACATCTAATGCACTAAAGAACAAAAAAACTCAGTAAAGACTATTAAAATGTACATGTGTTTTCATTTTAGGATTTTGATTTTCTGAAACATATCCTCATCATTCTTATCCTTGGGACAGCACTGACCAAGCACCTGTACATTCTATTTTTTGTTGTAAAATAACTCTGTAACTTTATGGCAACCAATACTGATAATCCTTCAGAGCTATCTGCTGTACCTAACCTAATGTTAAACAAAAATAGTTACATATAATAAAAGGGATAATACTGGTAGCTGAGTAATTTATTCTTATGATATATACCAGTATATGTATATATCATAAGAATAAATTACTCAACATTAGTGATGTCGCGAACCGTTCGCGAACTTGCCGCGAACGGTTCGCCACGGTTCGCACGAACCGTTCGTGGCGAACTCCGGTCAGCTGACACATCCCTGCCAATCTCCGGCAGACCCTCCCTCCCAGACCCTCCTACTTCCTGGACAGCATCCATGTTGAAGGCAGCAAGTTCGCGAACGGTTCGCGACATCACTACTCAACATATATGGTCCAGGGCACCACAGACAAAAAAAAAAATATATGGCGGTATTGTAGCAAACAAGCTGTTTTGTGCCATTTTTCTAAACTAAATATTAATTAGTACTCACATCTGTCTTGGTTTTGTACAGTGTAATAAAACAATAATATAGTTTTCAGGCTTTGCGAGTGGTACGTTTAAAAAGTAGCCAATGAAAAGTGCACTTTTCGATACATTTTCATTTTATAATGTAATTTGTGATGTTCTCTATTTAAATAAAGGTAATAAAGACAGCCCTAGCTCTAGTTAAAGCTAAAATTATTAGTTTCTAGTAAAAATCAGTTTTAATCATCTAAATGAGAAATGCAAAGTCAAACCAGTGAAACTTTGATGCTGTTTTGCAATTCGGTAAGTTACAGAAAGTAAATAAAACTGTCACATTGACAGTAGATGATCAAGTATACTGTACATTAGTCATGGGGCACAGATATGAATATTTAATTTAGGAAGGTAAAAAAAAAAAAACTAGCAAGTGACTCATCATTGCCAATTTAGCATCAAGGCAATTTATGCATTGCTCTTGGGCACACAAACTACCGCTGTATAAATTTAAAAATTATTGTATATTTTGTATAATCTATGATTTAATGTAAGGTATCCCTTTTCATTATAATAATGTTGCAGCTTGATAATCCAGCCATGTCTTTAAATGAGTTCCACCTTCCTCCGTTTTCCAGCTACCAGATCAGTCCTGTGAAATATATACCCTTGATAAACGTGTTTGTATAAATATCTCTCTTTCTGTGTCTCCTTTTCACTCTATCTATCCATTTTCTCTCTAGATGTGTAAAATACGTTTCACTTCCTCTCTAGATGTGTAAAAATACAGAAATATAGTAACAAACTATAATGCTGTAAAGCTGTTATAATTGCCTACATTAGGCTTGAAAATCACATTTCAGCGTAATTCTACCTTTTCTGATTGCCTTATTTAGAGAGTGTACATAAATACCCATGGTATAAACAGATATTAAATCAGAGAACTGGTGTTTAAGACTGTACTTATTAGAGTGTCTCTTTTGCTATTTTCCTTCCATCTTTTTTTATCAGTTTCCTGTTTTTGACTTGATGTGTTGTGTTAAAATATATAGTTTTTGAGGCCCAGATCTTTGCCATTCTAGCCCATTTTGTTGCCTTCTAGCATAAGACTCACTGGGATATGCAGATTTTCATCTAGACTGCTGTATAAATTAAATGAACCAAGGAAAAAACAACTACACAAAAAGTTATTGAATGACATTGACAACAAAACCAACGCCGTTACAAGGACATTTAATTTTGAGCCATTAAAATTTATCAGATGTTTGAATCAAATTATTGTACTATATTTTCCATTGAAATCCAAATACAATATCTCTGGATTAACATTTGAATTTAATAATACTTGTCAGAAATGTTAATAATGCAAAAAGATTTTTCTCTTTTTTTAATTGTTATCTATGATATACCATGAATGAAAACAATGGTTCTAAATTATTTAAATCTAAAGTATTGCTATGCTTTTTGCTACAAATATCATCCTTGTACAGTTACACGTTTTTATTTATATACTGATTTATGACTATTGGAAAGTATTCATATAATTGAGATTTCCAATATACATTCAGTCATACCTTTTATAGGACTCTTTAAATGTATAATTTTAGGATTGTAATACTATGGTAGTATATATGCTTGGATTTAAAAATTGTACTTTGATTTAAATTATTTTAGTACATGTTTTACAATTTAAGTTTCTTTAAATGTGATAGAGTGATTTAAAAAAATAATAATAATGTTTTGCTTCAAGATATCATCAGGAATTCGATAAATTAAATTTGTTTAAGGTTAAACATGTGTTTATAAAAATGTGTTGATAATTGGAGATGAGTGAACAATGAATATGTTTATTAAGTCATGGGCCCGATTCAAGATTACCAAAGCACTAAATAATTAGTAAAATATATAGTTATCTTTCATTTTGCCATTCAGCATTAACCACAAAATATAAGTTCTAGCTTAAAACAAACACTGATTGTTATATTTTTCACAACAACTCACAACCAAGATAAAAATAAAAAATCCAGGCATTATAGGGAACAATCCCAAACAACCTCATCTTAATAAAGTAGTTTTCAGGCAGGAGTGCCTAGGTACTGTCTTCAGGAGTTAAACTGTGTTTGTTCCCTGACAGCTCTGACACTGCTGTTTTTTCCTTGGGCCACTGTGTACTACGATGAGACATGTCTTAGCATCCATTAATGGACTGAGCCTATCATTGTGCCATTGTGAGTTATAGTTAAAGTTGTTATTTTGATGTAAATGTCACTTTAAGATTTATTAAGGGAAAACTGATATATATATATATATATATATATATATATATATATATATATAGATATATATATATATATATATATATACACACATACATATATATATATGTTTATTTATATATCAGTTTGATATATAGAAAATAAGTCATTTTGCCAAGTAAATTAATGTCTTTGTCAACTGAAAATCAGATCAGATCAATTAATACAAATGTAATACAAATTACAATTCAAACTGAACCCAGCAGCTCTTAAATTGTTTAACTCTCTCAATGCTGGGAACAGTCGTACCCATGCCTGCACTGCATTTACCATAACTATATAAAACATGCTTTGGAAATACTTTCATATACATAACACACACCTATACTTGTTATATAATATCTACAGTTACACCTTTAGGAAAAAAATAAAAATAAAAGTCAAACCAGTTCATTTTTGAAATAAAATATTCTAATTTCCTGCAGTCATACAAATCAAATATGTTATTTGAGTGGTGCCATCATATGAAAATCAAAATCTGAAACAATACAACATTGGAATGATAAAAAAAGCTGGTTAATACAAAATCAGTTCAAGACCAAAATAGTCTCTATAACAGTGTTTGTTAAAAGTGAGTTCTGTTTTCTCAGATATTTTATTAAATATAAATCATGCATGTAAAACATAAAAAATGCAGGTCACAGTGCGGTGTGACTTTGAAATGTTAATGTAAGCTTCAAAGTCAAATGCAAACTCTTGGTTCTCAGAACCATCTAATTTAGAGAGCTGAAACACAGCACAGAAGTTCTAGCTGCCAGAAGTGTAACCTCCAGTAGCCTCCACTTGATGCTCAGCAGGAGACAGACAGCCAATGGAGACATGGCCCCCCTCCATGCAACCTCAATCTTTCCCTTAGTCCATAGTCTCTGACTTCCCTTCCCCTCCAGCAAGGGTGAGTGATGTCAGTCAAGAAAAGATTGGCTGAGTGAAAAACTTGAACTTCGCGATGGAATAGAGATTTTTTTTTTTTTTACTTTGTGGGGGTGACGGAACACTAGTTGTTGGTTGTAGTAACCCTTTAAACTCACAAGAACTAAACCAGTGCCTTCCGCTCAGATCTAGAAACTTTGTTTCTTTTATTGGTTGACACCTGACCTCCAGCGATACAAATATATTCAAATAGACCAGGCTTACAAATTCCTCAAATAAGAGATATTATAATAGTTGCTTACACAGTTTTTACAGATATGCCCAGCAAGGAAGATCCTCTCCTGAAAAACAAAAAAAATTCTATCTTCTGTAAGAGCCAATTTAAGTTTTTCTATTGCTTATATGGTGAGTGCTATCAAGACATGTTCCAGCAATGCAAGCCACACTCTAGAATAGTTTATTAAGCTCAAATGTACTGAGCTCAAACTTAGTAAATAATAACAGCATGCTGAAATAACACATAAAAACATAACTGATAATAGTTCCAGATGATTTATCTCCACACGTTTTCTAAACTTGTATTCAGAAAGCCAGTTGATTATTGTGATTATCTATTATGACTGTGATTCCTCTCTTATATGGATAAAAAATTTGTGCCCTCCTTAAGTAGAACAAGAAGGCTCTGAGAAACAGAAAATTGCATTTGAGACCTTTTTTGAAATACTACTGCATGATGACCTATTTTTTTTTTTTTTTATATGTATATATTTACATTCATAGTACAGTATAATAGGTATAATAAGCTAGATCGAATACAAAAAATGGAAACGACAACTACGTTATTAAAGTGAAAAAATCTTCATGACATCTGTGAAAAAAAATCGACGTTTCGACCCCTAAGGGTCTTTCTCAAGATCTGCTCCTGACAACGGAGTTTAGAACACCGAAACGCGCGTCGAGCTTCTTCTTATTATTTTTTTGTTTTTCGTTCACTAGGTAGCACGGATTTATGGATCACTTAATTTACATTTTGATTTAGCTATCTGGACAGGAAGGGAAAGGGAACTTGTGTCTGTTCACAGTGCCAAGGTATATAGGGATAGAAGCTCTTTTCATTAGTGGCTTTTATTCAGGGCTGGGTTTTTTTTCCTTCTTAGGAGGTGTCTAGCTATATCCCCTTATAAGCCTAGTTGTGTTTTCCTCTATCCACCTGTTTTATCTATACAGTTATTTGGATTAGCCTGGATATATTTTTGAGCTGGATAGTAGTTTGGGTCTGGATGTTTCTTTATACACCATTCTTTCCACCCTGGTTTTCCCACTTTTTCCTGTCCTTTTACTGTTTTTACCATTAGGATTATTAAAGGTAGGGACTCTTTCTCAATTATTCTTCTACTTAGGACCTTTTGGTTCTACTTTTTTCTTTTCTTTCTTATATTATATTATCTGTTCATATATACAAGAGCGCTTTTATGAAACAACGTATGATTGTGTGTGAAACCAAAACCTGTGATCCCCTCATTCTTCGAAATACTTGTAAGACGTTGAATAAATCCATCACAGTGCTTTACATATGCTTCCAGTTTTACAGCTAGGATGATGCAGGTGGCTAAGGGGCACAGGCATGGTGTTGCCACAGGTACTTCGCATGTAGGTATGCTAGCTGAACAACTTATACCTGCACAGTCTGAATGTGCTGATATCGACAAGGATAGGCCTCGGGCTCCACATTCAGTACATCAAGGCCAGTATACCCCAGCTGATTCATAGAATCCACTAAAAGAGAAAAAAATTATTGAGGATAAAGTCACCCAGGTGATCTGTGATGTCAATATGAGAATTATCCAAGTGTCAACACTCTTCCTTGAGTGCTTAAACTATGCATAACATCAAGCAGAGCACTATTTACCACACAGATGGGAGCACTTAAAGGACCACTATAGACACCCAGACCACTTCAGCTTAATAAAGTGGTCTGGGTGCCAGGTCGAGCTAGGGTTAACCCTTTTTTCTATAAACATAGCAGTTTCAGAGAAACTGCTATGTTTATATTAGGGTTAATCCAGCCTCTAGTGACTGTCTCACTGACAGCCGCTAGAGGCTCTTGCGTGCTTCTCACTGTGATTTTCACAGTGAGAAGATGCCAGCGTCCATAGGAAAGCATTGAGAATACTTTCCTATGAGACTGGCTGAATGCGCTCGCGGCTCTTGCCACGCATGCGCATTCAGCCGAGGAGGCGGAGGGGAGGAGGAGAGCTCCCCGCCCGGCGCTGGAGAAAGAGGTAAGTTTAACCCCTTCCTCACCCTAGAACCCGGCAGGAGGGGGACCCTGAGGGCAGTATAGTGCCAGGAAAACGAGTATGTTTTCCTGGCACTATAGTGGTCCTTTAAGATAATGGTTGCTAGGTAAGTGATACTGATTACCAAGGACTAATCTTTTTGAGTTGCTCTTTCCAATAACTTATCACATTAACCTTAGCAGCATGTCAAACCCTTGTTTACTTATATTTGGTGATTTTGACAAAAAACTTTGTGTGCACCCACGCACTAAATGTACAATGATGACTACATCGACTACTCATGACTACTTGAGAACAAGGAGCTGCCTCTGTCCTTTGAAAAAACAACAAAAGATTTCACAGTTTAGAAAGAAAACTAATAGAGAAAAACAGTATGACACTGATACATTTTGATTTAATCATGCATGTGGCCTTGTACACCTTATGGCAGCATCACATTTAGGAGATGCACAAAGCTTTATGGTGAATCCTGAGCTTTATTGTTCTGACAGACGTGTCTGGAATCAAATGGTCTAATAGTCCATTAGGGATTCTCAATCCCCTATATAAGAACTAGCTACTTAATAGCTCTTGAGTTATTACGATGGATTATTCTGTCATTCTCAACTATTTTGCACACCCTGGACAACTTCTCATAGTCCTTTCAGAATGACTCTCTTAACTGCTTATTTTGGATTTCCAGATACATCCTATATATCAGAGAGGCCAGAATAGGAGCACTGCTATTTCTGATGATGTTGCTGCTCTGGTTGTGTGTTTAACTTGTTGCTGGGACAAAAACAGTGCATATGGTATGAGGTTGGTGCAGTTGGTGCATGGGCTGGCAGAGAGGAGGTGGAACCACATAATCTTTGTTTACATCATTGCATTCCAGTTTTTATGGCACACATAATGTATTTAAATAAGAAAGCATTGTGTATAGTAAAGGGATAATGTTTTATTGCCCAGCCTGCAGAAAGGTTAAGGGATAGGCTTTTTCTTTCACAACAATGGTGCAAGCATTTAGGTTGCACACATATTTTATAAGTTTTTTTTTTTTAATGTAATGTTTGTACATGCTATTTGTATAAAAAAGGTACTCTTATTGTTCAGCTATTCCAGGTGATCTTAGAGGTTTAGCTATTCCACTATCACTTCCTCCATGGCTCTATTGATTTATCTAGGCTATCACTTCAGTCATAGTTTTCCTTCTGTTTCTCTTTATTTCTGTTAAAGCATTTTTAACATATTAAAGAAGAAGTGAAAATATATTCAAGTTGTCTGAGTGCTAAGCAAATCAAAGTGTATTCCAAAACATTCAAAAGTCACCAACAATTATAGGGTTGTCTCTACAAAAAAATAAAATAAAGAGAGAGAAAACAAACAATCCCTTTATGGAAAAAATGCATGAATGCTAAATGACAAAAACACCATACAATCCAAAATTTGAATGACTGAACATAAAATAATATGTAATAAATATTAACTTTTAACAAAATATTTAAATCTTGAATGAAGTGAGCAATAAATACATTATAGGTAAATAGATTTGATACATACCAGTATTGGTCTACCTAAAGGTCTATTTGTCAAAATATTCATATAAATTCCAAGTGGTTGATGTCTGAAACAGTGACACACGCTTGCTGTTTTACACTGGTATGTATCTATGTATTATTCATTTGTTTATTGGCACTGTGTTCAAAGGAGAAATTTTGTCATAAGAATATATTTATTTTGAATGTTTTCAACCATTTAGGTATTGGATCCTTATGATTGTTTTGTGATTTTTTTAAAATTCATTTGGTTAAACTTAGTGATTTTGTTTTATTGATATCTTTTGCATTTTGTTTATTGTTCCTTCTGGAATTGTATTTTATTATTTCAATAAAGACAGTGTTTATTTTATTGATCTTTGTGTATGTTTTTTCAAAGCTGTTATTTATTCCACCAATCATTCAAAACAAGAGGGTTCTCACCCCTACAAGTGTACACACCAAAACAAATATAAACAATTATATAGAAATATTTTATTTTTAAACTTAGTGTAGTTTTATAACTGTTCAGATTAGAGGTCCTACCTCAATAACTGAAGTCATAGAGTCTTATTGCTGCAATCACCTTTTAAGACCACCATCCACTGCATCTTATAGAGAAGCATTAGGCACATATGGACCATACACAGTAATTTCCACACAATTAAAATTGGATGCTTGTCAGAGAGAAGCATTAAATCCAATGCTTCCCTCTTTGAATAGCGTACAGATAAGAAATTTGTCAATAGACCCAAATATAGTTTCTTATTCACCTCCGGTATCAAAACACACACACACAGCATGATGCAAATAAAAAAAAAAAACAAGTTAAAAAACAGAAAAATATGACAGAAAAGAGGATTACAAGCTGAGTGAGTTTCAATATATAGCCTTCTACACATCTTCCAATTAACCTTTATTTTTATTCAGTGTTCCATGATCCAACAATTAATGTGTGTTCCCTTTCCCACAATGTGTATCCCCTCTCTAAAATGTAGAAAACACTTATCGGGCAACAACCTTTTTTTTGCTTTATGGAAAAAAATAAAATTAAAGAATAAATGCGGTTTATTAAATAGGGTGAAACTTTATTTGAAAAAAAAGGAAATAAGATAAACAAAGAGCTATGTAGTTAACAATGGGAAACCTGAGGCAACAAACACTGTAAAGTAAAAGGGGACTCCCTCTAAACCCTTAATCAGAGGTTCCTTACCAGGGGTACTTAAACCCTCAGGGGTACAATCCAATGCCCCGGTGATATGCAAAATACAGTCGGAAATGGTGACGATGCAGCTGCTCTGCACAGGCTGGGAACCGCAGACTGAGGGTCCATCGGGCGGCCCATGCGTGTAGTGTCACCTGATAGACATGTCCCTCATAGGCCCAGTTGTGCACTGTCTGTGGCACCTTCTTATCTGCTGGGAGAGCTGGGAGGAAGTGAGAATCGATCATTTCGTCCCAGCAGACATTCACCATCCACAATATCTTAACTCTGCCCTCTTGCCAGCATAACTTTGCCTCACTGACATAAATCCACACCCACCTACTTCAGCCCCACCTCTATTACACCTATAGCTCCCTTGTCTCTGTCTGCCTCATACTCCCTAATCCATGATAGTCAGTGAACACCGAGAAGGGGGGTTAACCAGCAGAGGAGCAACTACCTAACTCCCAAGAGCCCAAGCCAGCAGTAACCACTCTCCTGCCCACATAAGGTAGGACACTGCAGCGTGGCAAAATTTTTAACCTGTATGTGCGTTTTGGGTGTCTGTATGTGTGTAGTGTTTGTATTTGTCAGTGTGTGTATCAATGTGTCTGTGCAACTGTGTGTCAGTGTTTGTATCTGTGTATCTGTATGTGTATCAGTGTGGGAATCTGTGTGTCTGTGTATCTACAAGTGTGTCAGTGTGTATCTATGTATCTGAATGTTTGTCAGTGTTTTCATCTGTGTGTCTGTATCTGTATGTGTTGGTGTTTGCATTTGTGTGTCTATGTATCTGCATGTATGTCAATGTGTGTGTCTGTGTATATACATGTGTCAGTGTATCTGCACATGTTTCATTGTTTGTATCTGTATATCTGTATCAGTATGTGTCAGTGTCTGTATGTCTGTATCTGTGTGAGTGTGTCATTGTTTGGATCTGTGTCTGTGTGACTGTATGTATGCCAGTGTTTGTACTTCTGTGTATCTGCATGTGTATCAATGTTTGTTTTGTGCCAGTGTATGTGTCTGTGTCTTTGTATGATTTTATGTGGCTGTATCTGTACTTGTATCTGTGTGTATGTGCATTTGCATGTATGTCAGTGTCTGTATCTTGTATGTCTATATATCTGCATGTGTGACAATGTTTTATCTGTATGCCTGCGTATCTGCATGTGTGAGAAGTGGGGGAGCCTGGAGAAGCAGGGGGTCTTAGGGTAGAGGAAAAGCAGGAAAGCCTGAGGCAGAGGAAGAGCAGTGGAGCCTTTGATAGAAGAAGAGCAAGGAGATCCTGGGGCAGAGGATAAGTATGGGGAGCCTGGGGAAGAGGAGAAACAGATAAGCCTGGGGCAATTTGAAATAACTGCAGCTTTAGTATGAACAAACATTTCACAAATATGAAGGGTACAATTTATGGAAATGGGCTGCCAAGGGGTACTTAAGTGAAAAAAAGGTTGAGAACCACTGACTTAAATGATAAGTACAAAAAAAATTTTTTTTATTTGTTTGCAGTGTTTACATGAATATGCCTGAAGGGAGCTATTATACTCACCAGAACAATTACATTAAGCTGTAGTTGTTCTGGTGACTATAGTGTCCCTTTATCTTAATGTAATTGTCTGTGTTAGCTTTTTGTGTGCCAGAGATTCAGACTCATATGGAACTAAAGGGATTTCATATTGAGCATCCAAAAGAGAGTATAATAATTTCATTAATACAATAATTTCTTTAGCATAACATTGGTTTTGGATGAAATTAAACCCCTTAAGGCCTGAGGCAGTTGTACAAGTTGGGATCAAAACAAAACCTTGAATTTGCGCATAAGTCTGTGCAGGCATAATTTACTTATTTCATAATGTGTGCAACCACACTTATCATATACCATTTTGTTCAGGAGAACCAGGGCTTTCATGTCACATCAAATATTTGTATATTAAACATTATTAAATATAAATAAAATATAAAAATAATTGAGAAATTAAGAAAAACATTTTTTTATTTCTGCATGGCATTTTAACTGAATGTCACAATACTGTTAGCGGTTACTGCAATAAAGTACATATATTTGTATTCAGCGATGTCTCACGAGTAAAACAGTACCCCCAATGTACAGGTTTTATGGTGTTATGGAAAGTTACAGGGTCAAATATAGCATGTTACATTTTTCAGTTTATATACATTGAAATTTGCCAGACTGGTTATGTTGCCTTTGAGAGCGTATGGTAGCCCAGAAATGAAAATTACAAAAGAAGACAACCTAAAGTATTACAAATGGGATATTTCTCTTTCTTTTTTAGTAGCCACTGAGTCACAAATACTGGCCAAATTTAGCATTCATATGTGTTGTGTGTGAAAAATGTGATATGTATTCTTTAGTTCAAATTACAGTAATTGTATTTTCTCCAACAATAAAAACAAAAAACAAAAGTTAACTTTTCACTCTCATTTTAATTTTAGTGATGTATAGAATTGTTTGCAGGTCAAGTATAAATATAAACCACTATTTCTGTTTCAAGGATGTGGGAAACACATTGTGATTTATTGAATTTTTCACTCAAAATCTGGTTAGTGATTTACCTTTTGTACATTTATGTACTGACAAGCTTTGTCTATGGACAGGTATTTCAAAAGTGCAAGCACACTGCTTGAATGCAAAACTCATGATGCCTGGGTCAGAATTGACTCAAACATATGCTTCATTCCTTTCTTGAAGTTAAAGAGTACATTTGGAATACATAAACTGATTTTTATACAGTGAAAAGACAATATAAAAAATGTAAAAAAAAAGAACGTAGGAAAGAGATTTGAAGTGTTTTCTCTGCAGAGAGAAATAAGTAGAAAAATCTAAGGTTATTTCATCTTCCTGTTCTATACATGGTGTACTAAACAAACTTTTTGTTGTCAACATGTCTTCAAACCATAAGGATATTTCTTTCAGGAATTTGTATTTTGTGCTTGCGGGTTTAAAGAAATATCAACAGCTCAATACTCTATGGTTTTGGTTATATTACCTGTAAAACTTTTATCACCGGCTTTTATCTTTGCATTTTATATTATACTCTATGGGCAAAGAGGGAGATTAAATTAGTGATAAAGGTATCACATTCAATAGAATATAATCCCTCTGCTGATACAGAAACATGTCACAAAGTAATGTGTGATAGGTTTCTCTAACAGAGGTTATGGTTCCCACAGAAATGTTCCAGATCAAGATTAATTGATACTTTCTCAAATCCCCTTCTGGTTAGAAACACAGATGGAAAACAAGAGCAGCAATTCACTAATCCTATTATAGTTAATTATCTATTTGGTACATTACATATATGTTAAATAAACTAAAATGTGTGCCATTAGCTAAATGTCATATGTTGTTTTATTAAATAGAAATCCATTTTTTTATTCAGGAAATATATTTACTTTAGAACATATTCTGTGACAGAAAGGTAACTTGTTATAAGACACTTGTCTGTTGTTTGTAAGCTATATTTATTTGATATATTTGACTTGTTTTTCTGTCTTTATGCCCTTAAGAGGAAGCACAAGTAATATGCTATCATAAACATTGTTTATTAAAAGTTAGCACAATAACTAAAAAAAGTAAATTTGCCCCTACTGATGTACACGGACATGCCATAAAATTCTTACAATGTGAGGTGTTGTAGAATAATATAGAAAATGAGTAAAACCAACATTTTAAGTATAAATAAATATTTAGATATAATATAGGGATGGTAGAGTTTTTGCATAACGTTCTACGAAGTTCTTATTAATAATTATTACATAATGTTCAGCAATATTACTGCCTAGTCGTGAGATAATTTTATAAAATTATGTAAATTGATTAATCATATTATTGCCACGTATACATGTAAATGACGTAAATGGTCATACATGGATAAAAATTTGGTACTCATCATCATTACACAATTTTTCTTAAAAAACTTGTCCTGAAATAAAAATACCATACAACTGTATATCATTCAAGGTGAAAACTACTTAGCCTGAGATCATAGTGGAAGAGGACATTTACTAAAATAAAATCTTCTATTTAATTATGTTGATATCATAATAATATCACATA